CCTCACTAAAACAAAGAAAGTAGAAAACATCATCTAAAGTCCTTTCATTTGCTCCCTTTATCTCAGATAATAGACTTTAAATGACTTTTTAAATGGCTTACCTCCAAAAACATCACAGACTTGTTATCTTCGGATTAACCATCCAGACCCCTCAGGTCTTATAGATCAAACCTATGCTGCGTATCTAAAACCAAAACCAAAAAAAGGAAAGTGTGGTTTTCGTTCTTGCTCTCTTCTAATCCGATACTAACTTCCAGATGCGTTTGACCTTGCCATTTAAACATCAGTATTTAAGTTTGCAGTCAAACCTCATTTTATCTTACTGATATCTCTTTTTTCATGTACAGCATTTCAAAGTGTCTTGCTACTGAGGTGTGCTATATAAGTACACTTTCCTGTGCCCTACCGTTTAGAGTAAGATACTTTTCCTCATTCTCATCTGGTTTAGAGAGAGACGAACTGCAACAAGAAATTTTGACTTTGACAAACTTTATTTTTTATCTATGCATACAGCTTACAACGGTTAGATGAATTTATACATTTATAAAGTGCAGCAGTGATCAAGAATGTAGACAGTGTTAGACAAAAGGAAAATCAGTTTAAAGTCATGGTGCAAAAGCATTGATATGGAAAGGTTCAGTGCAGTGCAAAATAGATAAATATAGTGCAAAATGCAGTAGACCATTGAGTTGCGTTCTATTTAAAGTGATTATGAGAAAAATCAGCCTCATTGTTAGCCTAAATATGATGTTTTCAAGTATGATGCAGAGACTTGATTAGAGTTTCAACAGTTCAACAGTCTGATGGCAGCAGGGAAAAAGCTGTTGCAGAGCCTCCTGGACTGGCAGGAAATTCTGCGAAGCCTTTTCCCAGAGCGCAGTAGGGAGCAACAGTCCATGGTGGGAGTGTGAGGGGTCATTGATAATGTTATGGGCTTGGGACACGCAGTGCTGGGATGAAATGTCTTTAATGGAGGGAACAGGAGCCCTGATGATGCTCTCTGCTGTTCTCACCAAGCTCCTCACTTTCTTCCAGTCTGAGGCGCTGCAGCCTCCACACCACACAGTGAGACAACTGGTCAGAATGCTCTCTATGGTGCTTCTGTAGAAGGTCATGTTATCAGGATTAAACAAACTCATGCATTATCAATAAAAAAAAAAAAAACATATGGTCTGTAAGATGTTTGGTGATACTACATGTAGTTAACTTCTAGAACTAGCTAAGAAAAACCTCCTCCAAGAAACCCTTTACTTTCTAACTAATGCTAACCTAGTTTTTTTTAGCAGTGGCAGAAGCTGTAGTAAGTTTGTTTTTTTTTTTTACATTGGCCCATTTTTTTTAAGTTATCACATCATGTTCTACTCACTCATATTAGTTTTGTGTCATTTGGAGCTGCTCTGAAGATATTTTTTTGTAATATCCAAGTAACGTCTTCCTAGTCTTCCTATGGGCAACGAGTTGAAGGCACAAACTAAACTGTTCATAATTTATTCGTTATGGTACGCCAGCATTCATAACATGTAGGCGAATCACTGTCCTCCAGACATCCGCGGTCATATTTTTTAAAAATAAAGCGGAGTGTGTATGACGTCATCCGCGCGCCGGACTGGAGTTGTGACAGGCAGCCCCGGCCACCGGCGGCTAGGCTCTACCCCTTCTATTTTCTAGCCAATCTAAATTGTTCAATTCCATTTCGAGAGCGAGATCATCTGTGGTAGTAGCACTAGACATCTTCCAGGCATGTGAGTAAAACTAGCAGCAGCTCAGCGAATAGGAAGAATGAATAATAGCCGGCACAAGCGGATGATGTCATACACGCGCCGCTTTGTTTTTAAAAAATATAACCGTGGATGTCTGGGGGACTGTGATTCGCCTACATGTTAGGAATGCTAGTGTACCATAAAGAATAAATTATGAACAGTTTAGTTTGTGCCTTCAACTAGTTGCCCATAGGAAGACGTTACTTGGATATTACAAAACCGAATATCTTCGGAACAGCTCCAAATGACACAAAACTAATATAGGTGAGAAGAACATGATGTAATAACGTAAAATCAAGGGGCCAATGTAAAAAAAATGGTGTTCCCCTTTAAGTTATTTTTTCTGTGATATCTCTGTATCTATGTAACTCCAACTGACCAGAGCCACTTTAAAACATAGCGCCTTCTGCTGCACTTTTCTACTGAGCATTTGTCAGATTCACATGGTTTTATTTCTGGTAGTAAGGAGTAGCTAGCCTAGGCTAGCGCTGGCTTAGCATCACTATGGCTTCTCTCTCTCCCTCCCTTGACTCTTTTCCAACTCTTCCTTCTTCCTCTCCTTTCTTCTGCTCTCTGTGTCAGATGTTTAGTTAATCATTTAACTTCTTAGCAAAGATTCCCAAAGGAGTAAATCATGATAAATTAATTAAAACTAAAATCACTCAAATTGGGGAAAAAGTTAAAATGATTAAATGTGGTCTATTTAACATAAGATCTCTTTTATGTAAAAGTATGCTAGGTAATGACTTGATTTGTGATAATCACATTGCTTTATGTTGCCTTACAGAAACTTGGCTCCAGCAAAAGGATTATGTAAGCATAAATGAGGCAACTCCTTCAAGCTATTTAAATTTTCACATACCCAGAAGATCTGGGCAAGGAAGATGATAAGCAACAATTTCTTTTAGTCTGACTTACTGATTACTCCAAAGGCAGTTAGTACTTACTATTTTGAACATTTAACCCTTAATTTCCCTCATCCAAATTGCAAAGAGAGAAAACCTCTTCTTTTTGTAACTTTGTATCGTCCACCAGGTCCTTACTGTGAATTTTTAGATGAGTTTTCGGAGTTCCTTTCTGATTTGGTATTAAATACTGACAGAGTCATCATAGTGGGAGATTTTAACGTCCATGCTGACATTGAAGGTGATAGCTGAAGAGCACTGGCTTTGTTCAAAATGTGAATAGTCCCACACATTCTCATCTTCATACTTTGGATCTTGTGCTGACACATGGCATAGAATGTGAAGAAATAACAGTATTTCCTCACAATCCTGTCCTTTCTGACAACTTTTTATAAACCTTCATGATAACTTTAACAGAGTCCCCCCCCCCAAAAAAAAAGAAGGTTTCACTTTAGCATATCATTATCAGATAGTGCAGTTATAAATTTTAAAGAATCTGTTTCACTTTCTCTCTCCTCTGTGTAGCTGAGCAGTGCTGCAGAGTGCAAAAGCTTAGTTTATTCCCCTTCACAGGTTGATGATTGTGTTGACCGGGTTACCTCATAGGGTTGCCAGTTCTCTGCGTACTGTCTTAGACAATGCAGCCCCTTTGAAAATGAAAACAGGCTCCTTGGTTTAATGCAAAGCTGCGCACTTTGAATCAAGATGCTAGGAAACTGGAGAGAAAATATCGCTGCACAGGCATACGGGAATCCTACCTAGTCTGGAAAATAGTTTACTGCTGTATAAGAGGACCGCTTGTAAAGCAAGAGCAGCACATTTCTCCTCATTAATAGAGGAGAATAAGAATAATCCTAGATATCTTTTTAATACAGTTGCCCAACTCACCCAGAGCCATAGCTCTGTTGAACCACCTGTTCTTAGCAGTAATGATTTTAGGGGATTCTTTATAAATAAGATTGATCTTATTAAAAATATCATTACCACTCTATCAGCGATTAGTTGTATGTTAGATCCAGTTCCAACCAGGTTATTTAAGGATGTATTCCTTTTGATCTCCTCCTCCATTTTAGATGTGATTAGTCTATCTCTATCACAGGGATATTGTTAGGAATCCAGTTTGTGTGGGTTGTTTTTATGTTTTTCTCTCTCCACCACCAGGTGGTGCACTGCTCCTCGTTGGGCATCCCTGCACACCTCTTCGGCAGAAAGCCTTTCCTGTGTAACTGGATAACCTGGACCTTCTCCACCTGGAAGGATTACTGAGTACACACTGAGCAGAGGTAAACCTCCACATGATCCGTTCAAGTCCTCATTGGAAAACCAAGTGACAGTCAGCTCCTTTACTCCTCTGGGTCCAACGTATGTGTCTACATGTCCGCTCTCCAACGAGTTCCCTCTCCTCTAGATTAATTCCCCACAAACTGGATTCAAGGATTAAAACAGTTTTTTTGGGTCAGAGGGAAAGGGGGATAGCTGAACTTTAAACTAATGGGCTCAAAAGGACAGGTTCAATTTACCAGAGAACCTGAATAATCAGTTAAAACTCAAAATTAAGATCAATTATAGGACTTAAATGCAAGCTGCTGAAATAAAAATTTCTAGGATGTTTTTTTTATGTTTAGTTGACTAAATAAGGAAAAGTTTAAAAAGTCTAATACTAAAATGACAAACTGTTATTTAGTGGCGATTCTCACGTCGTCCTGCAAACACAGACCTTCCCATCATTCCCAGTAAAGTTCAGTTTGTTATATAAAGTGGCTGCCTGCTTCCTCCTGGATGGAGGCGACAGTGGAGAGGAAAACTCTCCTTCAAAAGGAGGAAGAAGAGATCCGCTGAAGAAACTCTGACTGCAGCATTGTGTTTCAAAGACGTCAGAACTTCAGATGAAACTTAATGAAATTGTTAAACTTGAGCTGAAGAGAATCATGTTTATCAGTTCAAAAGAAAAGCAACTCACTTTGTATCTTGGGTCAGAATTCATCCTCTGGCAGATGAGGGCGAAATGACTGAGAGGCCTCCAGTAGCAGACGGCGCTGTGACATCATCTAACGTTCCCTGTGGCGGGATGAGGACAGCAGCAGGTTAAGCTTCCAGTCTAACGGGTGCAGCTAAAAGCAGAGGAACCAGGGCAGAACAGAGAAGCAGCCAGACACCAGGCAGAGGGAGTCGGCTTCACCTCCTGCTTCATGAGGAGGCTCTGCCTCCATCTTTACAGCTTGACTCCTCAGAACTGTTTGCCTTGCAGGACGAATATTCCTTCCTGGAGTTTCTCTGAGCCGTTCTGGTGGGTGTACCCTCCTATAGAACTTTTCAGAACTTTTAACCTGCAAACGTTGCTTTTGCTCCAAACTTACTCGTTGGTGCGACTGATGGCCTTCATCTTCAAGCTCTCATCCTCCTCGTCACAGAAAGCCCTGTGGAGGATTTTGTTCTGCTCCTCCAGTGGCATGAAGTTTTCAATTATCACGTTTCTGAAAGATCAACAGTTCCAGTTTAAGCAGCTTTACGTGTTAAAAGGATGGTAGCCATTTATCTGGCCTTCAATAACTAATAAGAATGTTTTGCGGATTTAGTGAAATCTTTAAAATCATTGAAACCTGTAGGAGATTTTAAGGTCTGATGGGTGAAAGTAGAGCAGAGTGGTGGCCATCGATGCGCTCCATACCTGAGTTTGAGATCTCTGGTGAGCTCGTTCTGCGTGTGCACGGACTCCTGCCGCTCTTTGATGTGCCCTTCCTGGATGTCCTGGATTTCTGCCTTCACTGCCTGCAGCTTGGAAAACAGCTGAGGAACAAAAAACATCAGATGAACAAAGTTAGTTTGACAAAAACAGGACTTTAAATCTTTCGGTGATGAAGACGAGTGAAGGATGAAGGCCACCAACAAGTTGGATGCTTAGAGGGAAAACTGATTTGATCATAAAACCCTTTTTCTTCCCAGAGCAACATTGATCTCCTACCTTCTTCAGCTTCTTGTCTTTGATGTCCACCTCCTGATGCAGAGAGCTGTAGGTCTCCTTCAGCTGCAGCGTCTCCTCATCTCGACTCCCCGCCTGCTGCTGAATCTCACTCTCCCTCCGTTTCTGAAAGTAATAATGTTATAATAATGCTAATAATGCTGTGATTAAAGGTCCACCTTCCTGCAGGTTCTGCTGCCTTCAGAAGCGGCTCCTGAGATCTCCAGTGGAAAACTGATTTCCATTTTAACTTTAGAGACCATCCCTCCATTAACAGGGTTTATACAGGAATGACTAACTGTAATTTAATGCTTTTATTGCTCTTAGAAATAATTTTATTGTGTCAACAAGTACAGACTCATATATATATATATATATATATATATTAAAACACGGCAAAATCCTTGGTAATCTTTACCATCGACAGGCTGCAGCCATATATCGTAAATATATCTATATAATTTTTTATATAGAATATAATATAGCAGGCTGGGCCTCTGGGATGGAAACCAGCATTTCTGGAGCCGCCTGTGGAGACACCGTTCATCCCTCCGTTCTCACAGCCTATTATGGGCTGACCAGTTCATAGGTCAAACTTAAGTGGCTTAAAATAAA